AATTATTATATTAAATTCACAATAGTTGGTGACAAATTTGTTACAACTAGAATGTTACCTCTGTTTCGCATGGCAATTTTTTAATTTTTATAAAAAATAATCTAAAAAGTTTTATCTTTTTTAGTTTTAATTTTTTTAGATTAAAAAAAAGAGTTTGAAAATCTTATATCTAGAGTTTTTTATATTGCTGTTTGTATTGATTAGTTGTGTTAATTTTTTTTATAATTTATTAAAAAATCTTAAATCTAATATTTTTAGGTTTTTAATTATAAATTTTTTGTTTTTAAAAGACATTTTTTAAAATATTTAAATTTTTGGACCTGATAATTTTTAAAGAATTTTTATTATTTTTTATGAGATCTTTTGGTTCATTTTTATGTAGGTTATTTTTTCAATTGATTATCTTTAGTTGCAATATTTTTTTTGTTTTAATAAGTGATTGAAATTTAATATATTGGTTAGTTTTAAGATTTTGAAGGTTTAGTTTTTCTTTGACAAGTTAGATATATTTTTATGGATTTTTTTTATTATTTAGGTGCTTTTTTTTCTTTACAGAAGCATTTGAGGGTATTGTAATTGCCAACAACACATCGTCATTTCTATACTCAACTCTTATTATGGTTTTTTTTATAATTATATAAGCAAATAATTTTTTTGAATTTTTTTTATTTTAAAAAGTTTCACATGGAAAGTAAAAGGTTTTGTCATATGTTAACGTAATAACTATTAAAAATATTTGAAAAAAATAATTTTTTATATAGGATAAACCTCTATTACATACATCTTCCTTAACTTTGACCTAACAGATATCAAGGTACTCTAATTAAATACCTTTCCCATCACTCTAATAAATAAGATGAATATTCTGTCACCAAAAAAACAGTGTAACTGTACTGTTAATGTATGATCTATCATGTTTTCTAAGTTACTCTTTTATCTTTTTATGACTCTGTATATATGACTTGGAATCTATTAATCACCCTACTTGAAATTATTAATTAGGACTTACCTATAATATTTATTATGCCATTACTTTCTTTTATTATTTGATGTTTCAAAGTAATAGATCTTCTTTTTGTATTCAAATGGTAGGTCTTATTCTGTGTTGAGTTGTAAATACAATTATTTTTTATTGAATTGTTAGGTGTCAATCCTAATAAAAAATTTAAACCCTAAATCTTTAAAACTTTAAATCTTAATACATAATTTTATTTTACTCCTATAACAAAGTGTGGGCTTCTATCTAATATATATATATATATATATATATATGCTTTCTCATTAATTTAAAACATGTATCACAAACTAAAATTTGACATGTTATTTTTAAATTAAATAAAAAAAAGTTTGTCAATAATTTTTTCTCACCAAGAAAATTAACTTTCTTTTTTTTTTTTTTTAATTCAATGTTTACTGCTTTTTTTATGTTTAAAAATGATTATAACAAAAATTCATTTTCTATACATCATCAATGAAAATTTTAATTTACATAAGTGAGACTCAAATATGTTTTTTCTTATGATATTAGTTATTTTTTAATTTTATTATATATATAAGCATATATACAGATTGTAATGGAATGTTTGAATATAATTTGAAAAGAAAAACAAAATTCTATGGATTCAATATAGAGAATAGAGATTAATACTGCTAATTTGAACCTTTTATTATCATTCACACGTGTAGAAATCACCTATAAGCTGTGAAAGTCATATTTATGAATAGTGATTAAATTTATATTAAAGAGTAATAAGAAAAAAAAAATAATGGAAAAGAGCCTAAACTTTGAAAAAAGCATGCATTTCTTCTAAAACATATATGCAGATCATTAATTGTTTTTTGGGCTTAGAATTTTTTTGTTGAAAATGTGTATTGTTGAGTTCTTATTAATATATTTATAAACATAGGCATAAAGTTTCCATAAATCCATTCCTCCTACTTATTTCCTCTCATTTCGAACATTTTTAGGTTTCTTATATGATACAATCTTTTTATCATAAATTATACTATATATTTTAGAAGTTTGGTAAATAAAAAAATTGTCAAATAAAGTTAAATTGAATATGTGCATCTATTAATTTTGGGTATCAAATCTCATAATTATTTTCAAATCTAAACGTAAAACTTTTTTTATTTTTGTTTCAAATTCATTTTTTTTATGATTTTATTTTTATTTATAGGCATTAAATGTCTATCAAATGTTGCAAAAATAAAAAAATTTTAGTTTAATAACTACAACATGCTACATCCTATACGGTACATATATGTTTTTTTAAAACAAAAATGTATGATTCTATCTACTCTTACATAAATTAATTATATTATACTATTTAATATAATTAAATTTTAATCATTTGTTCATTTTAATTCAATTATAATATTTTTTTTCATTTATTTTTATTTTATAATAATTATTCAAAAAGCAAAAATAAATAATAAATACACCAATAAAAAGAAAAACTTGATTGACCAGTCATGGCTTTTAAAAAATTAAATAAAAGCAATGCACGTTTATTTATGGCACTGTCAACAAAAATAAGTCATCAATCAAGTCTGAAGACTTTTAACTTTGGCCTATTTGCGAATCGAGGTATCTAAACTGAGACTTACGAACGGTGAGGTAAGCTTCATTATAAACAAAGATAAAACAAAAAAAAAAAAAAAAAACATAATAAAGATAGGTGGCATCTACAAAGTCTCTCAGAAATTCTTTTTATATAAGGTAGATAGGTATTACATTGATAGCGAAAATAAAAAATTAATAAATTTAATAAATGTTGGTGTCCAAATTATAATTTTTTAAAGTTGAACGAATAAAATAGAAATTTTCAAAAAAGTAAATGATCAAAATATATATTTTTTTATTTTTAAAATTCATTTTTAGTTCAATTGCCGAGCTAATTATCGAATTAAAAGACCCAAAAAAAAAAAAATCGTAGCTAATTTATACTAACCCCAATTCATTTCCTTATCTTAAATCAAGTCAGATTTTTGCCATTTTATTCAGTTGGGGATTCTTGTTGCAACATATGATTATAAAAATTAAAGTCATTTCATCTCCAACGCATTGCAACCAAGATGTGAACTGGCAAACAAAAGCTAACAACTAACCAACCTAAATAAATTAATAAAATTGGACCGCCACTCCATAAAGCTTTATAATCATTCATCAAACATATTTAATTTAGGTAGCCGTTATAAACTACTTTAAAAACAATGGCAAAGGAAAAAGCCTACCTAAATTGGAACGGACATGCCTAACCACCGTATGACCGTTTGAGATTGATGACCAATTGTAATTTAGCCGTTACAGAATCCGAAGAAACACAAGGAGAAAATTAGCTGGCAAAGGAAGTTCTATAATAGACATACTCCGAATTCTCATTTTAACTCCAAACTATTGACAAAAATTTAATTTAATTGATTTATATAATTATTTTAAAATTTTGATATTTAATAAATTTAAAATTTTAATAACAGTATTTGTGATTTCTTTATTCAAGTTATAACTGTTTTAAAAAAATTTATTTTTCAATGATAAAAAATTAAAATATCATAAACATATTAGTTCAAATAATTTGAACAAGATGACATTAAATTTTTATTATATAACAAATTCATAATTTATATATTATATTAAAAAAATTTTAAATTCAGAACATTTTATTACTATTTAAGTGCATTAAGCTTTTATTTTATAACTAGAGATAGAGAAATAGAATATTCCTGCCTGCCTGTGCCAGTAAACGACCTTCTGTTTGAAGAAACCAAAGTGCATCTGATCCCACATCCCTCTCATCCTACATTTATAAATAAATATAACTTCATTCATTAAGCATTTCCTTTTCTTTCTAAGCACAACTCTGAGAGAGAGAAAGAGAGAGAGAGAGAGAGCAAAGACTGATCATTGTGTGCTTCTTCATTCCCTTGTTTGTAATTATTGGTGATGGCAAAGACGAGTTGGTCACTGAAGAAAGTGGTTGGAAAGGAAAGCTTTTGGCCCTGGAAACTCTCATCAGCTTTCAAGCGGAAGAAGCCTATTGATTTTCACATGAAAATCGTTGACAATTTGGTTTTCAGGGTTCTTTATGTCGTGGAAGCCATTGTTCTTGTCTCCACTCTCTGCTTCTTCTATCTTTGCTGCGGCTGCCACATTTGATCCTACTTTATTCTTACATGTATTTATTCATTCTTTGCTTTTCTTTTTCCTTTTTTTAGCATTTTTATTTTAAGAATATTTTAAAATTTTGAAAAGTAGCAGAAACCATTGTGAGGTCCGACAGGCTGACTCCTAAAGCAGGTGCAGGTCTGTTTCTGACCAAGTTAAAGCCGGCATCTAGGCCACTTCAAAGAGCCCGAAGCTTGTTTAAGGATATATTGGACATAACAGCTCACATTGTGAACATTAGGTTGTCTGAAATTTTTTGGCTATTTGTCTGAACATATGTCAAGTTTTGTTCTAGAACTTCATGTGCACTTTGGTTCCTTGTTTTAAAGGCAGCAGCTAATTTCTCTATACAAGACTACAAGCCAATCATTAAGTTGTCCAAAAGCAAATAGTATTAAATTTAACTCTTAAAACACGACATACAATAAATCTGAAATTTAAATTTTAAAATAGGTAACTCACATCTCCAAATTACGACTTTCTTCTATATAAAAAAAAAAAAAAAAATCTAAACAACATTGACTTTAACGTGCACAAAATTCCCACCAGATCCTAGTTATCGAAAAACAATCAAGGACATAAACCTAATATTGAAACCACCCAAACTGAAATGATCCAAAGCTATATATGCGCCTCCAAAATGTAGATAGAACCTGCTATGTCTTTGCAGTGTAAAACATAATACTAAAGTCAACTCAAATCCACCTCTAGAAAGTAGAAACCCAATCTCAATTCAAATTGGTTAGGGAAGTCGATGGTACATACCTGAACTAAATCTCACCTCAAAACTTAAATCAGTTTTCTGATCCTCATTAGACAATATAGGTTCCAACTTCCATGCTAAATGCAGGAAACAAGCTATTGAACAAAAATAAGCACAATCAAGTTATTTTACATCTACATGTATAGAACAGAAAGCATACACATCTCTGCTCTCTCGCTGATTCCAATACTTTTTTTAGTCAGATGAGCAGAAATTGTGGAGGGAAAAAAAAAAAAGAGCACTCTATCTTTTATGATGCTTAGAGCAATCAGATTTAACCTAATTAAGTTGCTTTCTGACGAACAAACCGCTGCAAACTTTTTGGCATTTCTGTTTCCGCATTAGTTTTCCGCTTCTTTCTAGACATTTCTTGTTCCTCTATTCTTTGCTCCAATAAGGGCCTCTTGGCTCTATCTATAATCTCCTTTCTCTTTTTTGCTCTCTTACTTGGCTTATTCCTTCCCTTTGTTTTCTTTTTAAAGTCAGTATCCTTGGCAGCTTCAACAGCAGCTTCCATTTCTGCTTCTCTCTCCTCCTTTGTTGGCTTCTCTTTCTTTCTTGCTGCTCTCACTGTACCAACCTTTGTTGGGTCCAACATGATTGTTTCAGGGGGAAGCTTGTCAAGCAGAGAGTGCACTTCCTTCTCTCGCCTCTGTTTAGATGTTTCAAATGGGTTTGCCACCCAAGAATCAAAGTTGGGTTCCCCTGATCCTGGAATTAGAATACTAGACCAACCCATGGAGTGCCCTATTCCCAGTACATCTTCATATGGTCGAAATAAAACTTTTCCCACCTGGTAACCTTTTGCCATAGAATGAGTCATATATCTGCTATAATTCTGAGATCCAGAAAAATCGGCTAAAATTTGTATGAATGAGCCAGTTCCAGCAGCAAGCAAGCCTTTCTGACTGAAATTCAAGGTCTTTGCATTGCCTGGCAATGTTTGGATAACCTCAAACTTCCTCAGGTCCCAAATCTTGATTTTTTTTTCTTTCCCAGATGTAGCCATGAGATGGCCATTGGGGTGGAATGCCAACGATGAGAGAGGTCCTGGATGACACAACATCTTTACAAGTGGAGCAGCACTGGTGGGCTTCCACATCGTTACTGTACCACTTGAATGACCTAAGGCAACAACTCCATTGAACGGATTGACCTGCATAACATCTGTGCAGCCCAACCCAGTCCGAAAATTACCTACCATCTCACCCATTGTAACATCCTGATAATGAAGCTGCCCAAACTTGTTTATTGATGCCAAGAGGAAGTGGTTTTTAAGAAACTGGAGTCTTAGTACTGCACCATGTTCCTGAAAATAAAAGCTTTAACTCGGTTTGCTCAATGTATATTGAGTAAACTTAACAAGAAGGAAAAAGGGATGCAGCCAAAAGTGGGTTGCTAACAATGAATTCCGACTCCAAGGGGGTACTTGAATATGGTAAAAGCAAAAGATTTCCTAAAGGTAGTACTACAAGAATCATGATCAGATTTAATGTGCCTATGCACCATCTAAACCACAGAATAACCAAAGGTAACAAACATGTCTGGGCCAAAGGAAAAACAAAATAGTTGAAGAAGTAAAGACCAAGAATTTTATTTCGGATTAGCCTCATACTTAGTGAATGCTAGTCAAACACATACATGCATACATAGAGGGGAGGATGAAGAGAGCAAGACACAAGAAATTATTTTAAGTTTCTGGGAAAAGATTGTAAGCTGGATTAAAGGCAGGTGGAACAACAGCAAGGTCAGATATAAAACAAACCCCACCATAGCTTTTAATCATCCTACTGTCTAATAAAGAAAAGAATAACCATTTAAATGGTTTCTAGAAAATCATAGATGTTGAAAAACCACGCACAACTCATTAAGTAGTGCAATTCATAGAAAGGTATGCTGACCTTTAAACAATGAAGTTCAGTTCCATCACGATTATAAATATAAGGGTACCTGCAATAATTAACATCTTAGCTGCATTACTCAATAAAGCTTTCATACAGATGACTTAACATTAGATTTATGGGAATATCAGTAATAGATGAAAACAAATTTTAAATTGGTACAACTGATGAAGATAAATGAGTTGCTTTCATAAGACAGTTTAGCATCCAACAGAGAGCAGGCCTATGCCAAGGCACATGCACCAACTAATCATATAGATTTTGAGGCGCAGACTCCATGCAGATGCAAGTATAAGGAACAATACTCATTTTTCTAAGTGAAATTTCCACTACTAATAAGAGAGAAAGCTTACTTTTTCTGAGCAGCAGCAAAAAAAAGTTCATTATGCAAGTACACTACATCACGTACTGTCTCTCTGACCTGAGAAACATAAGAACAGCAATTATACTTAAATCAAAGTAACACTCTAGTAAAATCTGTACCATACAATTAATGAAACTGATTAACATTAAGCATTAATGGATAATCTGAACTACAAGGAAAAAGTAAAAATTGCAAATAATCATTTATTATTATATAGTCCCACCTAATTATTTAATCTCAGGATACTATTACTTTGCTAATATAGAAATATTAGCAATACATCCCAGGATAGAATCCTTCACTAGTAGATCAAGTTTATTGACCACTTTGTGTAACATTCAAAGCATGCAACCAAAGTTCTACTTTGCTCCAACTTGCAGAATTCTATAGGCACCTAAGGATGCTACCTGACCAAGGACTTCAATGCACAAAAAGCAATGAAAAGAGCATATGCACGTTCCAACACGATGAAATTAGCCTATATCCTTTTGAAATTGTCTATGTCTATAATTTAAATATATCATCATGAATGAACAACAAAATAATGGTTATTAATTTTTACCTTCACTACAATCTTAGGTCCTTTATAACAACACTTCAGTGGCATTTTCAGGTTTCTCATACCAAGATGATGCTACAGGTATAGCATGGCTGTCCAATATAAGAGTCAAAGAATGAACCAATGGGCCTTGCAGTAGAAAAGAAGACACTTGGGTCTAACAATTGCATGGTTCACATGAATTTGGCTGCCATAGGTTCTAAGTTCTATCTAGTGAATTTTATATTCTTCCAGCTGAGATGTATTTGAGAATTTGGCCCATACTATCAATTTATAAAACTAAAAATTGATATCAAAGCCCCCCAGGCAAATGGGTGGAATGAGAAACAGAACATGTATCACATGCATTCCTTTTGTAGAATGAATTACAAGAAAAATTGTTCCATATAACACCCATCTTCAACAATAGACATTAAATTGAAACCACAGAACAACCCTAAGCTGATTAGATCAAAGCATAGGTGAATTTTCAAATAAATAACACTAAACTAGAAAAGTTTGAGACACAAAATAAGACAATATCGCTGAAGCAACAAGAAACAACATCCCTTAACAACCACAACTTTTGATTTTAGCTGGAGCACTGCATACCTGAATCTCTTTAATTAGGTTTAATGTCTTCATATCAACAATAGCCAGATGGCCCTTGCGTCCAGCAGCTGCCATATACCGACCATTGGAGGTGAAATCTAGAGTATATGGACCAAGTTCTGCACATGTAGACATCAAACTAATGAATACAAGAAAAAAATATAAAACTAAAAAAACAAAGCTATAACTATCATCAAGTTAACAAAATACATCTAGAAAATTACAGTTAAGACCCCTAGAAAGGCTGGTTGGTTGTGTTATCTTGTAATGTAGAAAAATAATGCTTATAATCTAAACCACTAAAACCTTCTGCAAATAATAATAATAACTTGAAATAAATTATGAGTATTTGGGTATGTTGGCACCTGGTAAAACAATATCATACTGGCTCCTTGAGCTTAAGATATCCACCTCTCGAGCAATGGATTCTTGCTTGATCCTCCATGTTTTCTCTATACCTTCCGCCTCCAAATAGCCACCCTCACTTGGCAAAAGCCACTGAAAAACAAAAATGGCAAATTTAAGAACAATCAAATTAAAACAGACAATTAAAAAAAAAACCGCATTTATTAGAAGGGAAGAGGAATTTCACTTTCTCAATCTTGGCAGCAGCTTTGGCAGATTTTCCATACAACTCTTCTCTTACAGCAAGTTGACCCTTTAGTTTTTTGTCTTTTAATCCCTGCAGAAAATGAACTAATGATCAAAAAATAAAATTAAATAGATAAAATAAATAAAACAAGAAATAAATACAAACATATATTACCTCCAAATTAGCAGCTTCTCCTCTAAGATACTTCTTTACTTTTTGGTCCATCTCATCATCACCGTTCTCTTGTGTTGCACCCATTGTCATAGAAAGAAAAAGGAAGAGACGCAAGACTGGCCTGCCTGTCGCAAGGGGCTTGGGTGAGACGTTCACGTTTCAGTCGGCGCTTAGGGAAGCTTGGCTGCTGGGAGCTTGGGGGGAAGGCGCTGAAATTGAAGAAAGAAGCACGAAGCGAAAGGGTTAAGGGCATAGAAAACGAATGGGCTTTTAATCACAACTAGAGCCCACCCAAATTTGAGGTAGAAACTCTGAAAGTTGTTGCCCAAACCCAATTTAGAAGCCTGGCTCATCAATTTTTACGGCTCTAATGCTTCCGGGTCTTGAATGACTCTAAGCCTGGACTACAATCAGGTTTCATTGGGAAGTCCCCGTCCAATTTCTAAAAATATCATTTCATTTCTTCCAAAAATAATAATAATAATAAAAGTTCGAATTTACGGAAATCAATTGTACTTAAATCTATTTTCAATAAAAGATTAAAAGTACACGATTAAATTCATTAAAATTACAGTTTAAAAAGTGTTTGATAAATCAATAAAAATTTTCAAACCATTTTGGAAAATCATGTATTGTAAAATTTTTAATGAAAAAGTATTGAAAAGACTAAATAGTTAAAAGTTATTTAATATATTAAATCAAATTTATTTAAAAATGATTAATGTTGTAAATTACTCTTAAACTATAACAAAATAATTAATTTAATACTTGAATTTTAAAATTTTTAATATAATATTTATGAATCTGTTAATTAATATGATGTTTAAAGAATTATTTGTTTACCACATTTTATTATTTAACATTAATCACATTAGTGATTAGTATTGCATTAATTAATATATTTATAATTTAAATATCATATTAAAAATTTTTTAAATTTAGGTATCACATTAAATATTTCATTATAATTTAAAAATTATTCATGATATTAATTGTTTTTTAATTTTATTATTAATTAAATTAATTTTATATTCTTTTCGTTTAACCATTTATTCTTCCTTGTTTGAAGTTTTATCAATTAAAAATAATTATAAAATCGTAGCTTTTCTTTGCAAAAAAAATCAATAAGAATTTTACTAGTCATTTAATTTTTCAATAGCATAACAAAAAATTTTTAATTTTCAAAACCTACCCCTCAAAAAATTGAATGAACCATATGAAATTGAATCCGACCCATGTTTTCAATAATTTTTAGTCAACAAAATGGTACATGTTTGAAAATCCTAAGGAAAATAAGAAGTTAAAGCATTAGATGGCGACGAGGTGAGAAGATGCTTTGGCAACCATGAGGTTTGGTTGGTGACACAGATTTGAGCAATTATTGAACTTTTGATCGACTTATAAGTTAAATTAATCCTCAATTGGAGACTATTTACTTAAATTTAAATTAAATTAATAATTAAAAAATGGGAATTTTTAAAATTTGTCCCATGGTTTAGTGGTCTAGTTAAATTTTAAAGTTGATCTATGATTCAAGGGACGAAATCTTGTAATTATTATAAAAATGACAAAGGTGTTAACTGAGACTTAGAAGAAAATAAAAAGACACTAATTACATATATATTTAAAAAATAAAAAATTATCATATTTATCGATAATGTCATAAATAATAATAAGATGATACATAATTTTTAAAGTATAATGTAAAAAATAAAAAAAAATAAGTAAAAAATAAAAAAAAATAAGTAAAAAATAAGATTAATTTTATAAAATTAAAAATTATAATATCAGTGTATAAAAAATCTTAAAAATTAATAGATATGAAGTTTAAAATTCTTTGATCAAGGTTTTATAAAAATTAAAAAAAAAAAAAGAGAATAGTGTACAAGTAGTCAAGTTAATTTGGTAAAGATATATTATTTAGTTTCCAACAACTTCACGCAGCTGTGGAATATACAAATTAAATGTCGAGCTTTTATATTTGCATGCTTACTGCTTTGAAATAAAAATACGGCAAATTGTTTGTCTCAATTATAAGGAGGCATTAAAATTTTTTTGTGAATTTATTTTAATTTTATATTGTAATTTCATTAAAATTTTATAATTATGACTTTTAGTGAGACAAGTATTTTAGTTTTAAAAATTTTATTCTTGCATCTAAAATGAAAGAGCTTAATTATATATAAAAAAAATTAATTAATTAAATTAAAACAAATAATTTTAATAAAAATTAAATTAAATTTCCAATGATATACTTGATCTCCAAGTCTCAAAGTTTCAAGAACTCATTTATATAATTTAAGAGAAAATTTCATTGCCTTAACTACCTTAATTAAATTGCTTAAACATATAAAATGATAAAGATTCCTTCACAAACAAGACAGCCACAGCCAAATTTGAAGATCTTGATTTGACGTGTATGATGTGGACTTGGAAAACTACAATTACAATCATGGAATGTTTTTCTATATTCTTTTCATATTAAAACAACCAGAACATACAATTATATAATTACAATCGATGTCCTTAATCACGCATTTAAATAAGAGGGCAAAGTTTAAACGAAATTTTTTAGGTTAAATTCGAGAAGAAATAAAATATTTGACATAATTTAGGTAAGATTTTTATTATTTATTTATTTATTTATTCAAAGATAAAGTTATACAAATTAGAGATAGTTGTCGTTTATTAATTTTCATCTATCATCTCATTTTAAAATTCAAGTGAATTTTAAAATTATATTTTTAAATATTAAAATAATGTATTTAAAATTTTATTTTTTAAAGGTTTTTTACATAAATCAAATTTTAATTGATAAAAAAAAAGTTTGTCACCACTTTGATAAATTAAATTTGTTCAAATTGTTTAATGCTCTTTTTTTTTTGGAGGATAATTTATTTCTCCTAATTTGCTCCCAAATAAGGATGTGATTGGAAGGAAAAGGAAAGAATTAAGGAGAAGGAGACAATCCTTAAATAGTAGACTGCGTGCCATCAATGCCCTTCCACATTGTAGCTAGAGGGTATATATCATTTCATATTCTTAATTAATTACTTTAATTAAATCTTATTAATTTTAATTTTATTCCTTAAACCACTAGTACTCTTTGAATAGACCAACATCTACATCCACCATGTTAATACAAACATTTCCACATTTTCTCTTATCATACCGTGAAAAGGAGAGAGAGAAATTAAGCAAGAATTATAATAATTTAATATAGGTTGGTGGGTGGGCAAGGACTCCTAATAAGAAATTTCATTAACAGAGTTAACATCATTATCACCACATTTTATTTTGTTTATTGAATTGTCACTTGTTCCGTTTCTTAATGCCTACACTCTCTTATTTTAGAGCTATTAATTTGTATATTTTTATTTATTTATTTTGTGTTTAATATATGTAAAGTATAAAAATTATTATATTATAATTCTTGTTGATACATAAATAAAAAAATATTTTGTTTATTTTTATGAAATTTATATATTTTTTTATTAAAATTTTAAATCATATTACCTTCATTTTTTTCATATAATTTTAATATAAGGTCAAAAAAGCCTTCCAATAAAAATTCAATAATTATTTAAGTGCTTAACATTTTATTACAATTAATCAAATCCTAAATTTTTTATTTTAAATCAATTGAGCCATTAAACATTTATTTTTATCTAATTGAATCTTTATACATTTATTTTCATTCAATTAAGCCTTCCATTGGATAGAAACAGTGAATTATTTTTCTTTTAGTAAAGATTTAATTGATAAAAATAGATGTTTGAGAGTTTAATTTATTATAAAAAAATAATAAAGACTTAAATTATTATTAAATTTTAATTCACAAGCTTCATTTACCTTTTTGCCTATGATTTTTATATGATGTCAACATATCCTATATATCTCTTTCAATTTAAACTTCATGTGTGTATACATATATATATATATATACACATATACATATATATATATATGTAAAGGATCTTGGGTACCTCCGCTACAGCTTAGAAACCTGTAGGACAGGGACGGTGATTCCAAATTAAAGCCAGTTGGAAACCTTGAAATTATGGGGAAGAAAATACTAAGTAAAGTGCAAGTGAAAATATCTAAGACTGATTCAAGTGAAAAGAAGCAACTCAACAATTTGCTAAAGGTGTTGCGGCCCAAGGTGTACATCACTGACAGCTGCAGCTTCAAAAGCCTTGTTCAAGAGCTAACTGGCAATGGAACAACTGTTTCACGATTATCTTCACCTTCTTCCTCTAATTCTTTACCCCAAATCGTTGAGAAATTGCCTGTTATTGATGATGGAAACCCTGAAAGTAGCATGGAATCATCATTTGATGTGTCGCTTGAGTCAATATTCCAGGAGTGCAACCACTTAGCCTTGAGTCCTGAAGAGATGAATCAAGACTATAACTATGATCCTATGCGTTTTGATGAGACGAATTCATCAGATTACTTGTTCGTGAATATCCAGCAAGAGGATCCATTGGCATTTGGAGATCTTCAGACATTGCTATTCGATGTTGATGAGCAATATTACCCTAATTCCTTCAATGGCTATTCTCAAATTCATCAGCAGGAGGTCAGCATTTATGATTATGAGGTATCAGGACTGATATGAAATAATCCGCTCCATTAGTTAAATTCCTATATATATATATATATGGTTTTTGTTGTACAGTTTTAATCTTGTTGTTGTAATTATAATAAATACTCAGATCGATATTCATAGAAGTAGTAGAATTAATATTAGAAGAGCGTATTTTTTTTTCTATTTCAATGTGTATTTTTTGTTTGCACAGAGAATTGGTTTTTCACTTTTCATTAGTATTTGTGCTCGTTTCATGATACAGTTGAATGGGTGAAAAAAAGGCTTGAAATACATATATGTATTTATTTTTTTAATCAAAATTGAGATATAGAGAAGAGGTCACATGAAACCAAAAAAAAACAATATAGCCATTCATGTAAATGCATCATGAATGTTTCATGTCAGATACATACAAAATATAAAAATTATCATATAGTATTTATTTTGATATTTCAAATATAAAACATATTCTTTTATTTTTTATCTTTAGTCATATATAATTTTTACTAAAATTTTAAATTATATTATTTTTATATTATTTTCATATCATGTAATTGAAAATTGTTTAAAGTTATCAAGTTTAAAGTGATCAACTTACACAATGTAAAATTAAAAAAAAATTTATACAGTTTTTAATTATTGATTTTAATATATCTAAAAGATAAAATTAAATCATTTTTAAAATTTTTTTACTTCTCTCTTACATCCTTTGAACTTATTGAAATTAATAATTAAAAAATTTATAA